TGAAGTCCGCAAGTCTAAAAAAAATTGAAACTCACCACTGTGTCAGTGCCTCACCAGCCATAAACCTCACCGCACGTCACTGCTGAATTCACATAATAACCACATGTTCACTTAACAACCATGTGGTTCACTTAACTTGCTTTATGTCCATCATAAAAATGGTCATAAAACCAAGTCAGGTCATGTGGGAAATTTTCTAAAGACTACCCCATCTTATAACTAAGTCTCCATGCCCAATTATAATACTAAGTCAATGACTACCTATAATGTGAACATGCTTGGAAAAAAATGCATAGAAGGCAGTAAAACCCTATCAAATACCCCATTAGTGGCAGTAAATTGGGAAGAGAACAGAGATCCAAGTACATCTCATCACAATTAGCCTATATTCGTGTGATGGAATTTTTCAGCCATTTTTAAATAACTCCACACAAATTGTACAGACTCTTCACCGCAAGTCCACAAACTAAAAGAAATGAGAGTGTTTCAATAGAATAAAACCAACGCAGGGAACTGCCAGGCCGAAATTCATCACCCACAATGCTCCCCCTCACTGCAATTTGTCACCTCCTATAGTGAATACATCTGACAAGCCGTCATGTTCAATATAGCAACGGTAGCGGTATTCCTCCAAGGGGTCAATTTCAATACTGATCCAGGTGCAGTAGGTCCCGTCCCAATTACGGGTGGTATCCCCACGACAAACTCCTTGATCCCATTTATCTCCATCCTGTGTCCAGGTGGCATCTATCTCTTTAGGATAAAAGTTGCAGATAGAGCAGTTCAAGAGGGTATCATTAACATTCAGCACATGAGTAGTTACTTCAGCTGAGGGCCCTGCAGAAACAGAAGCATCAGAAGACAGAGTCGACAATGCAGGACAAAGTATATATCTGCTCCTATATTCAATATTCTTTCTCCCACATAGACCAAATACTTCAGATGTAAAAAATTCCAAAGAACAAATATTCCAAAAGATATCCTTTATAGAATTATGATTTTACATAGACTGCTGGAAAATAAATGGCGTGGCAATATTCAATGGGTGTCCAATGCCCAGAATTAGTGATCTCTTGGATAGCCTAAATCAGGGGTCCATAACCTCTAGGCTGTGGCCCACTCCTGGGCTGTTAGCCNAGGAAAAACGTGTTCTTAAAGGGCAGAAAGCAGCCCCAGTCTTCCTGCTACAGGAAAACGGCTTCAAGCAGAAGCCTGAAATCTTTACAAATGGAGATTTTGTACCCATTCAAAAAGACTGGGCCAATCTATTTATAAGCAAAGAGACTCCAAATAAGCAACTTAATTAGGTAAGCCGAAACTGACAAGTTTAGCTCCGAACAAACACCTTCCTGATTTTGCCTGTAGAGGGGGCACGTGAGCTTGATGATTACCGGTAATCATCTTTGCCTCCTGGCATTCAAACCATGGAAAACAGCTATCCTGTGATTTCTTTGTATGGAATCGCAGTCTGGAGCACATATGGATAATCCTCCTTTTCTGGAGAACTGGTCTATTAGTTGAAAGCCTTCAGAGAGAAATAGCCACCTTAGGCTTTGTAATTCACCAGTATCGGCTACCAGATCAAATTTCAACATCCTATCTTCAGCTAGAAGATTTAAAATTACCATAAGTAGCTTTCATCTAGTCCTTGAAGCTCCACCTGGAAATAAATGCATGATACTTTAGGATCTGCCTTACACAGTAGGACCGCCAGCCTAACAGATTCTGAAACAAAAAGTTTGTCCCTTAGGGGAATTTCTTCTGAAATGCTTTTTTTTTCCTCTACCACCTTGTGGCTGTCTGAGTCCATTTTAGCACTCAATCTTCCTTTGGAGTGCTTCTCAAACAACATCAAATTTGATCCATTTTGAGAGGTAGATGTTGATTTGGTGGTTCTCAGGAGGTTGTTTTTCCCTCTCTGATGTCCTAGAACAACAAGATGAGAAAAATCAGAGCGGGAAGGCACCTTAATCAGTTATCCAATACCCATTTCTCTTGAACCAGCATAGTGACATGGTGAATGAAAAGAGGCAAAGGTGTTTGGAGGTATAACTAACCTGAGAAGTTGGGATGTCTCCCGTGCGCTCTTCACCAGCAGTGTTGTTGAGTGGTGGAACTCCTTCTATCTCTTTCAGTGGGCATTTTTCAGCATTATCCAAGCTGGAATTGGGGTTACTCTCTGAAGGAAAAAAAGAACACAGTGTGTGTTGAGAAAAGAGACCAGCTTTACATTTACCTATTCTCACACTTATTGATCTGCAAGTCGTCATTGCGTTGGTCCCAGAAACACACCACCAGGGTCCCTTCTGCACAAACCATAATCCTTTCAGAGCTGACCTGCAATTGCTTTCATTATTGTGGTTCTTAATAAACAAATGAACAAGTATAATGTTTTGGATTCATTAGTTTAATTGGGGACTTTATTTAGTTTTAGGATTTGTGTGGAAAATTGGTCACTTCTGTGGTCAGATTTATGCAGACATATTGAAAATTGAAAGAGGTTCTCAAACTTTAGGTGACTCATAGAGGGCAGATGTGTCTGTTACCTCGTGGATCACCTTTCCTGGGATTCAGGGCACTCTGCTCTTATCCCATACTTCTTCCTTTTCTGGAGAAATCTCATGGCATCACAAAGTTTATCAACCTACAATCTTAATTTAGCCTGGAATTATGATAGTAAGTAATTGCAGTCATAATGAAGGAATCAAGTGATCGGGTGCATTTTTTTTTTTTACATTTTGCGGTGGTCATTAAGTGAGTGCCACGTTTAAATGATAGCAACCAGCAGTAAATGCCAGAAAGTGGCAAAAACATCAAAAATTGTGGTTATGGTTATGTGACAGCAGGAGACTACAAACAGCTGTATGGACAAGCCGGGTTTCTGGGTCGTAAGTAGTTTTTGGGGGATCCATTGCAACTCTAAACATTCATTAAGCAACGAGTCGTAAGTCAAAAAGTACCTAAAAGTAGTTCCTGAAGATTGATGGATCGTAAGGGTATTTGCTCAATACATATACCATATTTTTTGGTGTCTAATACGCACTTCCCCCCTCCTCAAAAGTGGGTGGAAATGTATGTGTATGTGAATGTTGCTGAAGCCCCGCCCACCTGCCTCTGCCTCCCAGTAAATTGCCTCCTTGCAGCAAACAGCAAACAGCCTAGTCAGCAAACCTGATTTAGCACAAGCAGCTGATTGGCTATTGGATCAGCCTCCCAGAATACTGCCGATCGGCTGTTCCAGGCTGCAGGGATTGCTGCCACCCATAGCCACCACCCATTACTGCCTCTGCGCACCCCATTTTCTGCCTCAGCGTACCCCATTTTGGGCCTCCGCATGTCCCGTTTTTGACCCATTCCATTCCGATCCCCGCTGCCACTGCCTATTTACTTTACAATTGGGGCAAGGAAGGTCGTAAAATGGGCAAAACTCACTTAACAAATGTCTCACTTAGCAACGGAAATCTTGCACTCAATTTGTTGTGATAAATTGAGAACTACCTGTAATTTTCCATCTACTCAAAAGTGGATAGAGGGCATTTATGGAGCCCATGCAGAAAAAACCTTGTGGGAGGGTATTTGAAATATCCCAATATTGAAAATATTCCTCTGCATGTCTTCCCGATTCTTTCACTGTCTCAGGATCATCCTCAGCATTTAAATCACAGAAATTACAGCACATCCCTAGGTTTTGCTCATATTTAACAGAATAAAATAACGAAGTTGGAAGGGATCTTGTAGGTTATCTAGTCCAACCCTCAGCTCAAGTAGGAGGCCCTGTACCATTTCAGACAAGTGGCTGTCTAGCCTCTTCTTGAAAGCCTCCAGTGATGAGGAACCTACTACTTCTGAAGGCAAGCTATTCCACTGGTTGATTATTCTCACTGTCAGAAAATTATTCATTTCTAGGTTGAATCTCTCCTCAATCAGTTTCTATCCCTTGTTCCTTGTCTGGCCTTCGGGTGTTTTGGAAAATAGGTTGTCCCCCTTCTCTCTTTGACAGCTCCTCAAACACTGGAATACTGCTACCATCTTCCCCCTGGCCTTTTTTTCTTTAGACTAGTCATGCCCAGTTCCTGCAACCGTTCTTTGTGTGTTTTAGCTCCCAGGCCCCTAATCATCTTCCTTGTTCTTCTTTGCACTTTTTTTTCAAAGTCTCAACATATTTTTTTGTTAGGTGGTGGCCTTACTATGCAGCACTACAGGCTACTGCTAGATCAGCAGGTCAGCGGTTCAAATCTCACCGGCTCAGGGTTGACTCAGCCTTCCATCCTTCCGAGGTGGGTAAAATGAGGACCCAGATTGTTGGGGGCAATATGCTGACTCTCTGTAAACCGCTTAGAGAGGCCTGAAAGGCCTATGAAGCGGTATATAAGTCTACTGCTATTGCTATTGCTATTGCTAAGGCTTCAATCCAGTTTTTGATATCCAAGGTACTTTTCCAGTATACCAATAGTGGAAAGAATAAGCAATATGGCTACAAAAGATTAAGGTTCCACAATTTGGGAACTATGTCTCTGCTTATACAACCAAGTATTATATTAGCTTTTTTGGCTGCCGCCTCACACTGCTGGCTCATATTTAAGAGATTGTCCACTAGGACTCCAAGATCCCTCTCACAGTTAACTGCTATTAAGCCAGGTTTCACATAATCGGTATTTGGTTTTTCTTGCCTGTGTAAGACCTACTTTTCTCTACATCAGATGAAGTTTGTTAATATATTAGAATTTATGCCCTCCATGATAAACAGAGCAGTATGTGCTTATCTTTCCCTGCCCTTTTTACAATGTTGTGTGCAGGATTGATACTGTCCACTAACTATTTTTGCTCTACTTGGCAATGTTTGCTCCAGGACAAGCAATTTCCACCATCTGAGCTTTTATGTGCTTTTCTGGTCTCAACCATTGACTGCAAAAGTCTTCGGGGACCTTCAGCCTCCTGGTATTGGATGCTCCTGAAGTTGCAGGGCCCAACTTCTGAAGGGATGATGGTTTCCTCCTCCAGCATTTTCTACCCAGCAATGACATAGAAACCTATATATGGCATGTAGTTTTTCAGATATTGATGTTATGAGCCCTTCTGTCCCCACCCCCCCCCCTTTTTTTTTTGCTTCTGACTGTCATGCAAACTGGCAAAGAGATCACTCACTTGTTGCTGCTCTGTTGTCACGTCGACGCTTCTCTGGAAGAACAAATACCAAAGAGTTAAAACTAAAACTAATCCACCAGAGATCATTCAATCTCTTCCTTTATGCCAGAAAAAACCCCAAGAGACCGTGTGATAGTTGATTTGTCATGACTTACCTGAGAAACTGTCTTAAGATAGTTAAACTATCTTATAAACTATTTTTATAAGACCTGTGGTGGCTCAGTGGTTAGAATGCAGTACGGCATGCTAACTTACTATCCATTCCAGCACTTTGATCCTGACTGTCTCAAGGTCGACTCATCCTTCCATCCTTCCAAGGTCAGTAAAATGAGGACCCAAATTTTTGGAGGCAATAGGCTGACTTTGTAAACCGTTTAGAGAGCACTGTAAAGCACTGTGAAGCAATATATAGATCTTATTGCTATTGCTACTAAGCAGAAAGGGGAAGCATTTCAAAATACAAATGTACCTCCTTTGCTCCATGGGAAACCTACTGCCTCTGGAAAGGATTGAGTACAATTGGTAGAAACAGCTGGGTAAAAAGATATATTTTGTTGAAATATTTTCTGCTGCTTTTTGACCCAAAATTATTGCAGGGTAGAATTGCAATGCCTTTTCCCAGTTACAGAAGAGAACCCGGAGCTTCGACTAAGTGTTAGGACCCCAACTAAGAGTTCAGAAGCTCCTGAGGAGAGCCAAGGAAATGTGGAAGGAAGATGCACAGATGTGCCCTAGGGGGAAACTTGGAAGGAAAATAGCTTTCATATCTTACTACCCACCAGAAGCAAATATATTTATAGGATACTTACTGTAGCAAAAAATTCCAATGACTATAGACAGTAGGAAAAGGATGCCAAGGACTGACACAGCAGAACAAAGGATGTGTAATGGCTGGAAATTTTCTTCAGTTTGTGGTACAACTGTTGGAACTTAATTGAGGGGGGAAAAGCAAAGTAATTAAAAGGAAACCAAAGTAGTATTAGTATTTGTAGAGTGGATTAAAGCTGGCCTCTTGGCTTGAATTGGCTGGACAAACAGTATGGGAGACAGGCAGCTCCTCAAGGGCCCTATACCATGTAAGGCTTTATAGGTCATAACAAGCATCATGAATATCATGCCGACGCCCCAAGCAGGACAAGAAACAATGGATGGAAACTAATCAAGGAGAGAAGCAACCTGGAATTAAGGAGAAACTTTCTAACAGTGAGGACAATTAACCAGTGGAACCATTTGACTTCAAAAGTTGTTGATGCTTCATCACTGGAGGTCTTTAACAAGAGACTGGGCAGCTACTTGGCTGAAATGGTATAGGATCTCCTGCTTCTATGTGATCTTCAAGTACAGCCCTGTGCAGAGCACTTTACAATAGTTGAGTTGTGACAATTTATATTAATGATTTTCAACAATTAGAGATAATTTTCTCTTTTTGGTATATGCACAAATGGCAAAATAATTAACTCAAGTATGTTTTGATTTTTCAGCATGGACTAGAAACCTTAGTTGCCTTAAAGAAAACTGAAATGTTATCATTGTTAATTGAGGTTGTTTCTGAAATCAAACAGATTATGTCAGAAAAGAAAAAAATAACTATAAAGTTGAAATTACTGAATTTGAATAGTGGTATTAAACTATAAAGTTGAAATTNCCAGAAAATAAAAAAAACCTATAAATAGAATATGAAATTATGTTTCATTTTATGTAACTGCACTGTTTATGAATATCAGTGCAATTATATCAACAACAGTCAAAAGACTATCACAACTACAAGGCATTACTGTAGCATACAAATCAACTAAAGCGTCTCCAAAACATCTTAAGTAGCGCTCCCCCATCGCGTTTGCCCTCGCCGTGGCATTGGTTGCGGGGTGGAAGGCTGTACGAAGTCCCTGTGAAGACCCCACCAAATCTGTGCCAGAACTGGGCAGTGAATTGCACTCCCCTGTCTAAAATTATCCTTTTGGGGATGCCATTGAGTCTATAGACAAGGACAATAAACAGTTTGGCCAGCTTCCTAGTAGATGGGAGGCCGGTATATGCTACAAAATGAGCCTGCTTGGAGAACAGGTCTATTGTCGTCCAAATGATCTTGACCCCTTGGCTGGCCGGTAAATTCACGAAGTCCATGGCTATCTGTTCCCATGGGAGAATCGGATCTGCCACCTGCTGTAAAAGACCAGCTGGCCAGCCAGGCCTTCATGGTAGTGCAAACAACACAACTCTTTACATATTCCTCTATGTCCCTCTTAATATGAGGCCACTAGAACTGGTGATTTACTAAATGCAGAGTCTTGAGGAACCCAAAATGTCCAGCCAAGCAAACGTCGTGGCAGCGCCACAGCACGGCCACCCGTATCACACTTGGTACATATAACTTCAACCCCTTCCAGGCAAAGCCCTCTCACTGTGTTAATAAAGTTTGATTTTCCTGAAACCACTGGTCCATTGGGAGTGCTGCTTGGATTGCTCTGGGGAGGTCCTCCACCTGGGCATACAGGTTTGGTGCCGGTGAGGCCTGTTGAGTGGCTAACATTCTAGGTTGTAAACTAGATCCTCCCTTTTATTGTGATATTGTGGTTTGCGGGAGAGGGCGTCAGCTAAGAAGTTCTTGTCACCCCGTATGTATTTTAATTGGAAGGTGAATCGCCGAAAATATAGGACCCATCAAACTTGTTTTGGCGACAATCTTCGCGGGGTCTGGAGGTTCTCCAAATTCTTATGGTCCGTCCAGACCTTGAAAGGTATCCCTCCCCCTTCTAGTAAATGCCGCCATGTCAACAGGGCCCACCGGACCACAAATGCCTCCTCCCAAATGGGCCAGTTGCATTCGGTCCCTGTTAATCTCGAGGTGTACGCACACGGCTGTAGGACTCCTTCATTGTTCCTTTGTAAGAGGACTGCGGCCACTGCCACATCACTGGCATCTGCCTGAACCACAAATGTTCACACAATCGGGCTCCCCGGTCAAGGGTTTGTCATGAGATGTTTTGTACGTAAGAGGTCAGTTAGTGGAAGGGCCACTTAGCCAAAGGACAGGATGAACTGGCAATAGAAATTGGCAAACCCTAAAAAACTCTGCAACTGCTTGCGGGTTTTAGGAGCCTGCCAGTCCAACACCACTTTTACCTTTTTGGGGTCCCTCTACATCCCTTTAGATGAAACACGGAAGCCAAGGTAATCCAGTTGCGTCCTGTGGAATTCACATTTAGACAATTTGATGTATAAATGTGCATCCAGCAGCTTTTTAAGCACTTGACATACAAGAGTTACATGTTCTTCCATGGTCTTGGTATATATAAGGATATCTGTCAGGTTCCATAGGGTTAATGAAAACAGCCAACCACAGAGACGGTTTGAAAATACAGTTTATCTTCTTCCTCTGGCACAAACTGACCAACAAAGCACTAAGGCAATGAATAAATTGTCAAAGCTGACACCTGGTGCTCCCCACCACCTTTTATAGTTACTTGGTAATTAGGCTAAACCCCACCCCCGTGCACCCCCATCACCTCATGACCCAGAGTGAAAACCGCTCGGCAATCAATCATGGACTGTTCGTAGTCAGTTGTCAGTTCTGGAATGTTCTCAGTGGAAACCTCCCGGAGGACAATCATGA